AGGGCATGCCAGGAGCAGCACCAGGCATACCTGAAAATGAAGTGTCAACCTGGTGAAGCCACCAAACAGGACTACTTGCACGCCAAACAGCAAAAGCAGCAAGTGATAGACAGAGCTAAGTGATCCCACAGCCAACGGATCAGATCTAAGCTCTGCAGTCCTGCCACATCCAGTTGTGAATGGTGGTGGACAATTAAACAACTCACTGGAGGAGGAGGCTCCACAAATATCCCCATCCTCAATGATGGAAGGACCCAGCACATCAGTGCAAAAGATAAGGCTGAAGCTTTTGCAACAATCTTCAGCCATAAGTGCCAAGTGGATGATCCATCTTGGCCTCCTCCAGTGGTCCCCAGCATAGCAGATACCAGTCTTCAGCCAATTCGATTCACTCCACGTGATATCAAGAAACGGTTGGAGATACTGGATACTGCAAAGGCTATGGGCCCTGAGAACATTGCGGCAATAACTTGTGCTCCAGAACTTGCTGCTCCCCAGCCAAGCTGTTTCACTACAGTTACAACACTGGCATCTACCCGGCAATGTGAAAATTGCCCAAATATGTCCTGTACATAAAAATCAGGACACACCCACCCCATCAGTCTACACTCAATCATCAGTAAAGTGATGGAAGGTGTCATCAACAGTACTATTGAGCAGCACCTTGTAGGAGCATCTTTCCCAACCCAGGACAAAGACTCAGGAGGCAGGTGGGATTCAGGCAAGTGGAAGATGTTTTTTCAAGCAGAAACCAGTTTGTGCAGGGAGCGGGCCAAAGGATCTTCCCCAAATCTGGCTTCAGAAGATAGATCAATGACAGACCCTCTGCTTTGATAAAGAATTACAGCAATCAAATACAACGTAGTCATCGTCCTTCCCCTTAATCCAAACACCCAGTCCTGTGGGACACCTAATCAATGATGGGCATTTCCATGGATAGCCCCAGGTTCCCCATGATCTTATGGTATTAGCTCGATATTGTAATCACTAGGCCTTGGGATCTTTCTGTGCATCCTATTCATTTGCATTCCAAAGTTTAATGACTATACTCGTTCAGGTCTTTCTCAGGCTTGTTTATCTGGAAGGACAGCTCAAATTCTAATACCCATTAAGTTTTGGTACTGTCTTTTATCACATTCAGTAGTCCTTTTATTTTCCCACTGTCCCAATTACATACTGTAAAAATAAAAAGTCAGTTAGTTTTAACTAACTGTTATAAGATTAACTTCTGTTTTAAAGTTAATTATAAGTGTAACATTATTCAACTACTTCTACTGTCAGCAGTTTGTAATTTATGGTAACACAGTGTAGAGCTGGATGAGCACAGCAGGCCAGGCAGCATCAGAGGAGCAGGAAAGCTGACGTTTCGGGTCAGGACCCTTCTTCTGAAATGGGGAGGGGGAAGGGGGCTCTGAAATAAATAGAGAGGAAGGCGTGGCGCTGGGGAAGGTAGGTGGGATAGCGATAGGTGAGTGCAGGTAGGCAATGGTGGAGATTGGTCAGTGAGGTGGGAGGAGCAGATAGGTGGGAGAGAAGACGGACAGGTCCAGGAGGCAGGGATGAGAGGGAGGGTTGATCATGGGATGAGGCTGGGGGTGGGGAGATTTTGAAACTAGTAAAGTCCACATTGAGACCATTGGGTTGTAGGCTTCCAAGGTGGAACATGAGGTGCTGTTCCTCCAGTTTCTAGGTGGCGTCGTTGTGACACTGGAGGAGGCCCAGGATGGACATGTCGTTCAGGGAGTGGGAGGGGGAGTTGAAGTGGTTCACAACTGGAAGGTGTTGTCATTTGTCACGAACCAAGCTCAGGTGCTCGACAAAGCAGTAATTCATGGGTTGTGATCAATCTATCTTGTTCAGGGCATAAGAGAAGGTATCTCCTGAGGCTAATTAATCTTTACATCTAAGCTTAAATTTTTTTAAGCGTTTATATTATATCCTGGTTATGTATTGAAACCAACTTCTATGATTAGAGCATTTTTAGCTAAAAACTATTTAATATTGCTGGTAGCTTCAAAGAGGCAAATATTTCCTACAAAATAACGTTAGCTGTTATTGTGTGAGCAGGCTGTTTAGTTTTGCTTAGCTTCTGTCTGCCATCTTGTAAGCAGGTATGGGCCGCTTAGTGTGTTCAGGTACAGGTCACCCCTACATACCTCCTCAACAATAACCTGCTCAGTGACGCCCAGTTTGGGTTCTGCCAGGGTCACTTAGTTCCTGACTTCATTTACAGCCTCAGTTCAAACATGGACAAAAGAACTGAATTCCAGAGGTGAGGTGAGAGTGACAGCCCTTAACATCGAGGCTGCATTCTACTGAGTGTGGCATCAAGGAGCCTGAGCAAAACTGGAATCGATGGGTATCAGGGGGCAATCTCTCCGATAGTTGGAGTCGTACCTGACACATAGGAAGACGGTTGTGGTTGTTGGAGGTCAATCATCTCAGCTCCAGGACATCTCTACAGGAGTTCCTCAGGGTAGTGTCCTAGGCCCAACCATCTTCAGCTGCTTCATCAATGGCCTTCCCTCTATCATAAGGTCAGAAGTGGGGATGTTCGCTGATGATTGCACAATGTTCAGCACCATTCGTGACTCCTCAGATACTGAAGCAGTCCATGTTCACATGCAACAGGATCTGGTTAATATCCAGGCTTAGGCTAACAAGTGGCAAGTGACATTTGCGCCACATAAATGCCAGGCTATGACCATCATGAACAAGAAGCATTCTAACACTGCCCCTTGGTATTCAATGGTGTTACCATCATTGAATCCCCCACTAACAACATCCTGGGGGTTATCTTTGACCAGAAACTCAACTGGACTCATCACATTAACACAGTGACTACAAGAGCAGGCCAGAAGCTAGGAATACTGCAGCGAGTAACTCACCTCCTGACTCCTCAAATCCCATCCACCATTTACAAGGCACAAGTCAGGAATGTGATGGAATATTCCCCACTTGTCTGGATGAGTGCAGCCCCAACACAGTCAAGAAGCTAAACACCATCCAGGACAAAGCAGCCCTCTTGATTGGCACTACATCCACAAGCATTCACTCCCTCCAACACCGACACTCAGTAGCAGCAGTGTGTACTATCTACAGAATGCACTGCAGAAATTCACCAAAGATCCTCAGACAGCACCTTCCAAACCCATGACCACTTCCACCTAGAAGGACAAGGGCAGCAGATATATGGGAACACCACCACCTGCAAGTTCCTCTCCAAGTCACTCACAATTCTGACCTGGAAATATATCACTGTTCCTTCACTGTCACTGGGGTCAAAATCCTGGAATTCCCTCCCTAATAGCATTGTGGGTTAACCTACAGCAGGTGAACTGCAGCGTTTCAAAAAGGCACCTTCTCAAGGGCGACTAGGGACGGGGGCAAGAAATGTTGGCCCAGCCAGCAACACCCAAATCCCACAAATGAATTTAAAAAATCCTTGCTTTTCCTGACATATTGTCATACAGTCATAGAGATTTACAGCACAGAAACACACACCCTTTGGCTCATAAATTCTGTGCCAGTCAAAAACAACCACCTAACTATTCTAATTCCATTTTTCCCAGCACTTGGTCCATAGCCTTGCACACCTTGGCATCACAAGTGCACATCTAAATACTTCTTCAATGCTATGAGTGTTTCTGCCTCTGCCACCGTTACAGTCAGTGAGTTCCAGATTCCCCTAACCTTTGAGTAAACCATTTTTCCTCACTTCCCATCTGAATCCCCTGTCTCTTATCAGAAATCTATGCTGCCTGTCATTGATCCCTCCACCAAAGGGAAAAGTTCCTTCCTATCTATCCTGTACCTCATACTTTTCTTTATCTCAATCATGTCTCCCCTCAGTCTCCTCTGCTCCAAGGAAACAACCCCAGTCTCTCCAATCTCTCTTCACGACTAAAACTTGACTAGGCAACATCCTGGTCTGCAGTCTTCCAGTGCAATCTCCTATAATGTGAATTCCAGAACTGCACACATTACTCTTGCTTTGGCCTAACCAATGTTCCATACAATTCCAACCTAACTTCTCTGTGCTTAACCTCTATGCCTAAGCTCATAAAGGGTAATATTCTAAAGGGAGTGTAGGAGCAGAGTCACCTGGATTTATATGTATCTGAGTCAATATAGGTGGCAGGACTGGAGTAGAGAGCTATTAATAAAGAATGCAATAGTCCAGTCTTCATCAATCATGTCATAGAGTACAAAAGCAGGGAGGTTATGTTGAACTTTTCTAAGACACTAGTTAGATCTCAGCTGGAATATAATACAGCTCTGTGAGGTCACAATTTAAGTCAGACGTGAACGTACAGTTTAAAATCATTATTAAGTTTGCATCCACTGTTTTATTTTCTGAGAGGATTTTTCACATTTCTGCTATTGTCTGTGTGACAAAGCGGTTCCGAATTCCTCTCACACAATTTATTGTGTTAAGAATCAATGTAAGTTCAAATTAAATTTTGCGTTGAGGCACAGACAGATGAGAATCACATTGTCTTTTAATGCATTCTTTATTTTCAACAGGATACATTGGAACATTATATTAGGGTATAAGTGAATTTATAGGTTAGTAAAAGGCAACATCTTCCTCAAAATCCATGAATGTTCTGCTTTCGGTGTAATTATGTGAAAATGACACACAAACAAACTGCATTCATTGACCATGTATGTTGAGATACTTTGAATGCTTAAGTGTCATGTTGACATTCTCTTATTACAAGTTATGCATTGCATTGAGCAATTAAATCAGCTGATTAATTTCAAATTAAAATGTAACAATTGTATTGCAAAAGAGTTAGTGATTAAGCTTTGTTGAGTAGCTAATTTTGTTTAATACCTATGATTATATATCCATCTTCTCAAAGCAACATTCTCTAAGTGTTGGAATACAGCGAAGTGGCAGAAAAACATGTCAATTATTCACAGCCTAGCCACGGTTGTCGTTCAAAACTTGCTATCAGCCTTTGAAACCTGTTGAATACACGCACAGAAGATCCAGTTATGAGGTAAAATCTCCCTGTCAAATGGAAAAGAAATGTAATTATTATTTGTTTAAAACATGGGAACCAAATTTCATTGTAAGGTTCATCATTGTCGTGTTATAAGTCTGGCAGGTGACCAGGAGAACCTCCTGTCTAACAGCATTGTGAGTCTACCTGCACCAAATGGGCTGCAGCAATTCAAGAAGGCAGCTCACCACCACCTTCTCAAGGGCAACTAGAAGTGGGCAATAAATACTAGGCCCAGCCAGGGTCACCCACACTCATTTAAAGTTTTGGCAAAGATCTGTAGCTCGGGTTGTGGGTGATGTTGTTGACTTGCTCGCCGAGCTGGGCTTGTTCTTGTTCAGACATTTCATCACCATGCTAGGTGACATCATCAGTGGATCCTCCGATGAAGCAATGTTATTCTACTCTGCTTGGAATTCATACTGTCCGGTCCTTTCTGGTGAGTAGTCTACTCCCTGGCTGGGGTCATGTACTTTATACCTTGTTTTCTGAATCATCTCCTTTAGACACTCCTTCTCTTGTTGCAGTTGTACCTGGCAATTTTGGACAATATGACCCAGTTACCTACACCTGCAGCATTGGATTGCTCAAGTCCAACATGCTGACTCCTTGCTGCCACTTTTGCCACATCATTCGACGTTTGGTACCACGCTCTGTAGAGTATCTGGTACTTTATACACCCAGGTATTGTCACTCAACTCTGTTGCTTTGCTGGTGGCCACCTCCATTGAGGTAGCAATTTCGAAAGCTGCCTTGAAATCCAGGTCTGTCTCTGTTAGTAGCTACCATTAGATAGCTTTGTGTTGGAGGCTAGAAATGGCCCCACAAAAAAAACTTGAAGGAATCCTCTGAATTTCCAAAGCTCCACCAGTCTCTTTTAAGGCAGCCACAAATTGGGCAATGGACTCTCCTTTGTGATTGATCCCAATGGTACTCCAGAAAACCAGTATCATTACGTCTTCAGCCAATTTATTCGCCTTTAAGAGTGCATTAAAATGTTTGGTGTACAGAACAACTTGCTGTCTCTTCATCAAGTGGCACTGCCACTCCAAATTGACTCACTGTTTTGCTTTTCTGACACTCGATTCTAGTAGCCAATTGCATCCCGAGTCCCCTCTGTGGATGCTGTCTGCATTGGCCACTCCCTGTCTGACTGTGTTAGTGCGCTGTTCTTCCCTGGTACTGACCACAGCCCGAGTTCCCTCATATCCACTTCTCTTAACATTACCCCTATATTTCCCCACTCCATTTCCAAAATCCGGGTGATGTCCTTCCTCCCAACAAGGTAGATGGAGGGTGCATTTGAATAGGGAATACTTTATTGTGCATCCTCTCAGCTCCACAGTCAGTTTTAGACCATCTCCTCTAGCTCCTGCTCAGTGTCACCTGACCCTTAAAGAGGCAAATCACACCCAGCTACATACATAACATGGACCATTCCTCATAAGACAAGCCCTTCATTTCCATGGTTATTACTGTAAACCTCCTCTAGGCCCCTTCCAATGCCAACACACCCTTCCTGAGATGTGGGCACCAAAACTGCTCATAATATTCTAAATGTGATCAGACCAGAGCCTTATACAGCCTCAGCAGTACATCTCTGCTCATATATTCTCATCCTCTTGAAATAAATGCTAATATTGCATTTGCCTTCCTAACTGCCAACTGAACTTGGATGCTAACCTTAAGACAATCCCAAACTAGGATCCCCAAGTCCCTTTGCACTTCAGATTTCTGAGGCCTTTCCCCATGAATAAAGTGGTCTATGCCTCTATTCTTCCTACCGAAGCCCAGGCGAAGATTTAAGTCTCAGAGTATCACTGAGGAAGTCCATTTTCTCAGTTGCTGTTTTACTGACGGAATGGCTGGCTAATTCATCTGGTCTCAAACTCATTTGAGGATTGAAAGCAATGCAAATCAGGCATAATGAGAGTTTAGGACTGGAGGGTCCCAGTTTTGAATTTCAAAATACATGTGGAGCATTCATAGATGTGCAGATAAGAAAAAAAAATGCATTATTTATTTCAGTTTTTTTACGTTTAGATTAAAGAACACAGCCAGGATGAGACAAAACTAAGCAAAAAATTTCATGCAGTTGTCATGTTAATGCTGTTCCAAAGAGATTACCGACATAATCAGTATTGAATGTTGCAGCCAGATTGTGGATTTGAACTTACTGTGAATTTGAAGAGCTGCATCAACATTGGAAATTCCTTCAAAGATGTCACTTATTAATCTCGGGCTGCTGCTGCTCATTCGATTTTGTCGTATGCCATAACTAAAGAAAAAAATACAAAATACTGTATTGTCTGTCCTCTGAGCAAGACACACAACAAAAGCAACAGAAAACTGGTTGAGGATTATTTTATATGAAGCCAATACCTCCAAAGTTGATCTCCTACAAAGAACAGTATTTTTCTTCCAATGTACAATGCAGCATCTATTTTACTAACATTGCTTGGAAAACCAAAATCAGTGATATTCCTTGGGAATCCTGGTCTCAGTAAAGTCCGATGAAACTTCCAGTATTGAGATCCTGTACAATGAACAGCATTCATTTAATACATAAGCATAAAATGATTGATTAAACCCATCACCCAATCTTATGGCATAACAGAATACAAAGTGGTATACATTTCAGATACTCTTAAGCACAAATCAACTCACATTGAATGCTGGCATCAATGGACTGTTATGGTACTCCAAATATTTGGAATAATTGATATAATAATCAACTATGAGGAGGAACATGAAATCATAACTTGGAAATCATGACTGGAAGGATGATCGTAATAATTCTACACGTAGTAATAAACTCTCTCAAAATGCCTGTGCATTCAGGAATATCCATGTGGCTCAATGACTTCACTATTGTAATAGGAAATAAATAAGCAAGACTGTCTGTGCTACTCTCAGTTGCTGATTATTTATACAGAGATCAGTCTTTCAAGTTGATCCTGACTTCACCATCTGCATTGTGTGTGAAAATGTGAGCAATTGGAATAGAATTTCCAGGGAGCTAATGGAAGAAATTAGTGTTGATTCATTCAAATACAATTAGACCGATGTCTTACACAAAATAATATCTTGGGTTTCAGTCCATTAATTTGAAACATAGCATGTGATGAGTGTAACATGCCTAGGAGAGAAAGGGGAAGTTGAATCAAATAGCTGTGAAATAGTCACCTGCACCACTAAAAGCACAAAGAGAGATGTTTCCAGCCATTTCCACCAAAGCTCTGTCACTACACAGGTGTCAGGAAATGGCATTGGTGTATTGTGGGTGCACCGTTAATGTGCAGAGTGTGTTGTTTGGTCATGATCACATGTTTTGGACTGTGCAGGACAAGGTCACATCCTTTCACAATCACTGCCAGACGATGATACAGCTGCTTTTAGGACCATTCCTGAAATAGTTGCCAAAATGAGCCATGAGAGGAGGCAGCTGCTGATCAACATGGATGGATGCCTCCACAAAATCACACAGGTGCAAAATATGGCCCACTCCTATTCTTATCCAGCGCACATGTTTGGGGCCAGAATTCTGGATGTTGGCCTTCATCATTTTCACAATGATGGAGAGGCCTTTCATTGTTACAAAAATCCAGGCCTTTGCCAATCAGATCTCCAGAATTTGCTGCTCAGTTCATGCCTTGTGGCTGTTTACTTCCCATCACTGTCATCTCACCTCCAAGTTATTTTTGTGATCTTGCTGGATTTGCATATTATTTGACCACTAAACTCTGCCTAGGTATGTTTTTGACACTGTAATTATTGTTAATGTAATGCTAAATCAATTAATCAATCTTCTCTGCCCAGAAGGGGAACAATTTGAAGTATTGACTCCTTTTTCCTGCTTGTAATCAATTTGTCTTCATGACGTTAAACATGAAAAATTGCACAAAGGTCCCAGATGAGTGTTGCCACAATTAACTCTTGTTCCAGCAAGTTACAATCCAAACTACATACAAACTCAACAATGAAGGTAAAAGTTGAACTTATTGCATATACTGCAGCAAGTTTTGATCCATGTATTACACTTAATTTAAGTAAAACTCTGGATAAAACTGTAAAACAAACATAGGTGATGTATGACCATTATGCATCAAAGACAATATAATATTCCTGGTATGGTAATAGATTCATTACAAAAAAAATCAATAGGCAAAGTGTAACCTGTAAAGAAAATAATATTCTGTCTGTTGCGGAAGAATCTCCTTCTGTAGTATCTCCAGCGGGATGGAACAGCAACAGCAGCATCAATGTTTGACATGATATTTGGCCAAGTGCCACTAACTGGCAATATCCTCGAATTACGTGAAATCTGAAAGAACCTGCAAGACAATGATGAACGTTGCATCAGTGGTGAACCTGATGTGATGGGCTTATTTTCTACATTTCTGTTGATAGCTGGAACTCTGAGTTATCAGTACATAATCAGGAATGACCACAATATCCTTTAGCTCATCTTTATTGTGGAAAAATTTCTGTGCTGGCTACGTATAGCAAAGTTGTAAACATCTTAGTCAGGAGTTTATATTACTATTTTGAATTGTTTTATTTCAGTGAATTGCACATGAAATTGGGCAACCAGACAAAGCACAGATTTTGGGCAGTGCATAGCAAGTTCCCAAAAGATTAGGAGGAAGGGTCACTGGATCCAAAATGTTGGCTCTGATTTCCCTCTACAGATGCTGCCAGACCTGCTGAGCTATTCCAGCAATTTCGGTTTTTGTTCCCAAATGATTGTGCTCAGAGCTGGGCCAGACCACACTCCTGGCCATGCAACCCCAACATTGAAATCCAAACACGTCAAATGGTTCAGTAATTCAAAGAGGCTTTTAACAGTAAGATTGCTTTAGATGCCAGGACATTGATCAGAACATTTCAGAAACTTATAGATATTTCAATCTCTTAGGTTGTGATTAAACTGAGAACTGAGTAACAAATACAATGAGCAAATGCTTTTTAAAATTAAGTTTTGAATCATGGAAGATTTTAAGTTTGGTGAATGGTAAATTGACTTGAGTGGAAACTTAAGCAATTAGAATATTTCTGAAATTTGATCGCATAATGACCACAACTTATTCTCAAGTTAATGATTGTATCCAAAGTGGAAAATCTTATCCGTGCTTTTTAAATGTATTTATGAAGTTACTGCATGCAGAAATCTTTCCCCATAAAGGACTCTATAGCAGGTAAAAACAATCTGATGGTTGATGCTTTTTCTAAGGGAAGCTCAATCACGGGAATAGTGCTGTCCAGTGAGTATAAAAGAGAACTGCCAGTAATCTGAACAAAATACATTGTACCAAAAGTAACAAATCCATCAGTATCTGGAAAAAAGCAAAAACAAGTTAACAATTTGGGTTAGAGATAGTAGGAACTGCAGATGCTGGAGAATCCGAGACAACAAGGTGCAAGGCTGGATGAACACAGCAGGCCAAGCAGCATCATAGGAGCAGAGAGGCTGACGTTTC